ACACTACCTGACTCACCGGATAGTGTGTGTGTGTGTGCGCGTTCGGACTGTGTCTAATCTACTTTTCAATGATAAGATCAGAACTCAGTGTCTCATAAACTCATGATCACGAACACGAACATACTCACTCAGACATCACTGTTCAGAGTCTGAATCTGAATCAGATCCTGACCAAGTTTGATACCGAGTCTGATTCTGGGACAAATTCAGAACCAGAATCATTTTATTTCACCAAATATGTTACAAATAAGAGGAATTAGTCTTGGTGAGTCACATGAATGACATGTACACACCGAATAGACCAGACAAGCAGACAGTTAACGAGTATTTAAATGAGAGATAAAATACAATAAATTACAGTAAATAAAATAAAGAATAAAGAATAATGAAGATCCCATGTGAAAGAAGCTGAAGAGATGTGTGAATATCTGGACATCTTCAGATGCGAATGTCTATACAAATGCAGGTCTAAAGAGACAGATAAAGACTCAGATTCTGATTCTCAGTCTGACTCAGAGTCGAATTCTGAGCAAAATTTCTGATCCTGAGTCTAACATTGAGTCATTTTCTGATACTGAATCTGATTCCGAGCCTGAATCTGAATCTGATAAGTGTCAAATTCTAATATTGATTCAGATCCTGAGTCAATTTCTGATACTGAATCTGATTTTAAATCAGATTCTGATCCTGAGTCAGATTCTGATACTGAGCCTAAGTCTGAGCCTAAGTCAAATTCTGATACTCATTCTGATCCTGAGTCTGATTTTGACAGTCAAATTCTAACACTGAGTCTGATTCTGAGTCTGACTCGGATCCTAAGTCAAATTCTAAAACCGAGTCTGATTCTGAACCTGAGTCAAATTCTGATTCAAATTCTGATACTGAGTTTGAATTCAGAAAGTGAGAGTCTGATTCTGAGTGGAATTCAGACACTAAGTCAGATTCTAGAACTCAATCTGCTTCAGATACTCAGTCTGATTCTAAGTTGAATTCAGATAAAGAGTCACATTCTATTCTTCCCATTTTAATCCTGAGTCTGATTCTGAGCCTGATTCTTACACTGAGAATTTTGACAGCGAGAGTTTAATTCTTAGCAGAATTCAGATACTGGGCCAGAATCTGATACTCAATCTGATTCTGTCACTTAATCAGATTCACATACTCAGTCGAATTCTAGTACTGAGTCTGATTCTGATGGTCCAGTACTGACTCTGATCCTACATCAGTCCAATTCGAAGTCTCATTCTGAATCAGACCGAGTATGATCCTTTGCCTGGGTCTAATTCTGATACTTAAATGTACTCATAACAGTGTGTTCCGGCAGGAGCTCAATTTTGTTTAGTTCTTTTAGTGTTTGAAGTACCTGTCAGCTTTAAACACACTCCACACTGTGCAGCAAAATACAATGCAAGCTCAGTTTGCATGTGTGTGTGTGTGTATGTGTGTGTGTTTGAGTTTGTTTGGTAGATCAAACTGAGGACAAACTTCAGATTGCACACCTGTTGATGTAGTGACATGAATACAAACGGGGACAAACACTCAAGTCCCCATTTGTTTACGCTGTGCAACAGTTAGAAGAAGCCTAGAACAACACAGTCAGCATTTGTGGTGTGGTGTGTGTGTGTGTGTGTGTGTGTGTGTGTGTGTGTACTTTGGTAGATTAAACTGGGGACAAAAATCAGAGTGAACAGCTGTTGATTAGGGACATAAATACAAAAAAAGGGGGGATAAACACTCAGAGTTCCCAGTTTTTCAAGCTATGTGTGTGTGTGTGTGTGTGTGTGTGTGTGTGTGTGTGTGTATTGAATGACCTTTATATTATCCTAACTGCAGATTCACCTTTGAACGTATTTTCCAGTTACTGAAACCTGAACTATTGAAACTTCTGTTCAAGAATTTAACTAATGTGCTCAACTTTCTGTTTCAAATCATGTGTGGGTGTGTGTGTGTGTGTGTGTGTGTATGTGTGTGTGTGTGTGTGTGTGTGTGTGTGTCCGCTGTTCATCTTTGTTTGCTTTGGCAAATCACGCACCCAGGTGTGGTGCCGAAACTGTAGATATCTCTGTGTGAGCCAATCAGCACGCAGGCCAAACCACCTGCCAATCAAGTATTTCTACAGACCAGGGCCAGCAGCCAATCACAGCTTAGGAATGCAGGGAAGGTAACATAAGACACAGAAAAAGCGAGAAACTTAGTTGTGCTCATATCTGGTAGCGTATCTATATCTGACAAATGCACACGGTGTATCTTTTCTGAACTGAACACCACATGAAAGCAAAACCAGCAGCAGGAACAACAACCACATCTTACCAAACCACATGACATGACAAATCTACAAGCACTACATACCAGGGATGCAGGAGGGCGTTTGAAATTGGTGCAAACATTTAAGCAGCGTACAGTACTGCGCAAAACACAGACAACATTCTCTGATTATTTCATTTCTAGCCAAAATGGCCATTAAGTCAAAAGATATTCATTTTTCAGCCTCAGGAAAAGAGTAGAAAACATATTAAAAAGGAAATTGTACTAAAAAACTAAACATAATTTCAGATGTTTCAGTGAGTCACTCTTTACCCACAGCACAGTTTCCATCCTTTTCTTGAGATTTTTTTTGAGTTAAATAAAACTAGTTTAATTGCTTGTTACCTCATGAAGTAATACTTTTAGGCTGAACTGATGAACCACTTTTTACAGTGTATGCAAGTGGATTATCTTATACACAGATCAGGCATAACATCATGACCACCTCCTTGTTTCTACACTCATTGTCCAATTTATCAGCTCCACTTACTATATAGGTGCACTTTGTAGTTCTACAGTTACAGACTGTAGTCCATCTGTTTCTCTGATACTTTGTTAGCCCCCTTTTACCCTGTTCTTCAGTGGTCAGGACCCCCCGTGGACCCTCACAGAGCAGGTACTATTTGGGTGGTGGATCATTCTCAGCACTGCAGTAACACTGACGTGGTGGTGGAGTGTTAGTGTGTGTTGTGCTGGTCTGAGTGGATCAGACACAGCAGTGCTGCTGGAGTTTTTAAACACTGTGTCCTGCACAGTTTGTGTTGGTCATCCTCTAGTCCTTCATCAGTGGTCACAGGACGCTGTTGGCTGGATATTTTTGGTTGGTGGACTCTTCTTAGTCCAGCAGTGACACTGAGGTGTTTAAAAACTCCAGGAGCACTGCTGTGTCTGATCCACTCAGACCAGCACAACACACATGAACACACCACCACCACGTCAGTGTTACTGCAATGCTGAGAATGATCCACCACCCAAATAGTACCTGCCCTGTGAGGGTCCATGGGGGTCCTGACCACTGAAGAACAGGGTAAAAGGGGGCTAACAAAGTATCCGAGAAACAGATGGACTACAGTCTGTAACTGTAGAACTACAAAGTGCACCAATACAGTAAGTGGAGCTGATAAAATGGACAATGAGTGTAGAAACAAGGAGGTGGTCATAGTGTTATGCCTGATAGGTGTATATTAGCTTCATGGCTCCAGTGCTTAAAGTAAAGAGCCAAACTTCAAACACTAAACATGTCTTGGCTGATTAGATACATCTATCAACTATAAATTATCGCTTTAAACATGGAAACATTCTTACGATGTGCTGATAAGCTAATGAAACTGAACTAATGACAGGAAGTTCAAACTCTGCTCTGTCCAAAAGATGAAATGACGTTAGCAGTTTGGGAAGTAGTTCATGTGTGTCAGTTTTGTTTAGTTTGATTGAACGAGTCGTTTCTCATTCTCAGTCATGTTTATGCATGAACAGCTCTCTCTCTCACTCTCTCTCTCTCTCTCTCTCTCTCTCTCTCTCTCTCTGAGCTGGAGATGTTTTGACAGATATAGAGATGTGGAGCCTCTGAGGGTTTATAAGTATTACAAATACTCCAATAAATAAAGATTCAATTTAGACAAACCTTTCTTTCCGACACGTAGATTTTCAAAAAAAAAAAAAGAAAGTATTTTATAAATAACAATTATAATACATTTACATACATTAGTAAAATTTACTTACTGTTTGACTTTTCCATAAAAAGGAATAACAGTTTTAAATTCATCAATCATATTTCTCCATAATATTTAAAAACACATTCACATGGTTTAGATGTGCAATTTTGACCTGTTTTGGAAACAAAATTATGCTGCATCACACCAAAGATTCTGGACAGCAGCAAATTTGTTTCAAACAATTGTTTATGTGGTTACCATGGAAACCATGATTGCCAAGAGAGTGCAAGGTCGCCACAAGAAAAACTTTTTTGTGGTCAGTGGAGTCTTGCATAAAACATATTCAAGATTTATCCTCAGCTAAAGGCTGCAGGGATAAATTTGAAAGCTGTAAATTGAAATTTAATTTTGGAACTGTCAAAAAAAAAAAAGTGACAAAACTTAAAAACTCTAAAATTCAATTTACAACTGAACTATTTCCCTTCATGAGATTTAGTGCAGCTCATTTAAAACTAAAGGAAATCTCAGGCTAAAATTCCAATTTTTTGCACTTTTTTCCTTCAAGTTGCATGAAATTTAGTAATTTTAAGATTTGCGTAATCTGAGAGTATTTATGAAATATCATTACCGAATACATCAGTATATGAGAATTATGGGCCAGAAATAAAAAAAAAGAAAAGAGTTTCATTTTTATTTGTATAAATTTAATTTTAGGTTCTAAATAAACACACACAAACACAATGAACATCTTTGTACGTGTTTACTTAGGACCCAAATTTAATTACGCTGTTAGAAACAAAACCTCAGTATGTCCAAAATGGTAAATTTACAGCAGAAGGAAAAATCCTACTTTACTTTTAAAGTCAATGGAACCAGACATTTTTTCTAAGTAGTTTTGGGCCGTTTCTTTTGGTCCATTCATCATGAAATTGACACACAATGTCATGAGCAACAGGCATTTTCAAATTATGTCAAAAAGTGAAAAAATGACAAAAATGAAGATATGAGGTTTTGTTCAGACAGCAACAATATTGTCTGTACCTGATCGTTTGGAGCGCAGGATGACTCTCTCCTCTGTTTCTCTCCATCTCTCTGCTCTGCTCTGTGGGACAGAAAATGAAAAAAATGTTTTAAGAATTAAATGAACAGAAAAATATCAAAAGATTAGAAAAAAAATGAAAAAAGCACAAAATTCGGGCTTCAAAGGTGGCTCTTTTACACTTTTTTAGCAATGCTGATGTACAGTCGGATTTGACAGTTTGAACACCCCCCTGTCAAATTGTATATTTAATTATATTATTATAATATTGTTAATTTATTAATTAAAAATAACACATTCTTTGCCGAGGACACATTTAAATGTGCAATTTCTGCCAATTTAAGCACAGAATTTCTATTTATTTGCTAAATTTTAACATACTGGAAGTAAAAAATATACACACAAAATTTGCCTTAAGTTTTGCACAGGCTGTTTTATATTTTAATTTTTAAGCAGCAACTGTGCGTTAAAATGTCTATTAACCTTTTTAACTCCTTGGGAACACCAGTGGTTCCAAAACGCACTTCGTCATATTCTCCATAACTTTCATATCTCATAAGCTACATTCAAAAGGTGGGGGTCGTATGAGAGCTGTAACTGTCTTCTTTCCAGTCAAATAGATGGGTGATGTAATTTTAAACCCTTATAATAAAAGAAGCTGAACTCAGTTTTTTTTTTTCTACTGAAAGTCGACCCATTTTTCCACAAATCTGGGTTATAAACTATAAACAGATGGCGTCTCTTCAGTGATCTGCTCTGTAAAAATTATTTTCATAAATAATACAAAGAGCGTCTTTTTGGCTTTCAGCAGTAAATTGTAAGCATATAGCAATATGTGTAGATCATAAAACACACATTCTGTTAATTAGAGGGGAGCCTTTACAAAAAAATAAATAAATAAAATAAAAATGTACATTTATTTCATGCAGTTACTGAATAATTTGCCTTACGATTTGGTCACGTAAATTCAGATGTAAAAAAAACAAAATATACCCTGGTCAATAAGAGGTTAATCAACTCTAATCAAGTCCATTAGAGATTATTTCACACAGTTTGAGACAAGTGGGATGACTTAGGTGAGCTATCAACTTCCATTGCTTGTTAGCTACTTTAGCCTCGAAGCTCCAGCGCTGAAACTAAAGAAGCAAACTTCAGACACCGAACACGTCTCGGCTGAGCGACGACATTCAGAGTAAGAGCTTCCTAAAGAACTATCGCTTTAAGGTGGCCGAGGCCTACAGGTTCAACCGGGAGCGAATCAGGCCACGTGTATGTCTGCTGTTAGCGACGTGTGTTCCCGTATTTCTGCGGTTTCTGGCTCTAAATCTGTACGATGATAGAACATATACAGTGAAACAACCTCCGAAACCAGCTCCAAACTCCGGCTATACACGCCGCCGCAACCTGAGACTTCAATGTAAACGTGCGCTGTAAACGTGAGCGCGTCTGCTCTTCTGATTGAGTTGGGATTTAATTGTATGCTTGTTTAACGTACTTTTCAGGATAAACAGAAAAGAGTAAAAGCCTGAGCTGCAGCTCATACAGACGGAGGAACCCTGCTGATTAACAACCTAAAGACATTCCTGTGGGATGATCTTGTTCCTGCTCACTCAAACACGATGACTGAGTGTGTTGAGTATGTTCAGTGGTGGGAAATACCTGAGAAATTGGGCTTCATTACTTAAACTTAAAGACAAAGCCAAAGTCAAATTTCACCTATTAGGTGTAAAGACTTTGGTTAGATGACGTATTGATATAAAAGAGCTGCGTAAAGGTCTGAATACTAAAATGCAGGCAGTTATTAGAACATTTGATCCAAATTTTCTGATGTAAAGTTGTTTCTTCTGAACTTTCGCCACAATGTCTTTTGTTTCATGGATGATGTCCAAAATATTTAGGTAATGCTTTCTTTTTCAGTCCCTTAAGTTCTAGATATTAACCAGGGAAGTGTGAAGCAAGTTCCAAAACAGTTTAACTAAACTGGACTGAAATGACTAACAGATTCTAGATATTAACTGGGTATGAGGGGTATAAACTCTATTCAATTATAATTATTATTATATAGTTAGTTTCTATACAGTTTAACTAAACTGAAATGATAAACATGTTCTAGATATTAACTGACCAAGAGTAGGGTGCGATCTCTAAAGTTCTGTGTAATTATTTTGGGTAATATGATGATACGTTCCGATACAGTTTAACTAACTGAAATGATGAACATGTTCTAGATATTAACTGACTAAGAGTGGGTAACAAATGCCAAGGTACTAGATAATTATTTTGGTTAGCATAATAAGCTCTAATACAGTTTAACTAAACTGAAATAACAAACAGGTTCTAGATATTAACTGAGGAAGTGTGGGGTACAAACTCCAAAGTACTATAAGTAATAATATTTTTGGGTAGAATGATGATAAGTTCCGATGTAGTTTAACTAAACTGAGATGATGAACAAGTTCTAGATATTACAATCTCTAAAGTTCTGTGTAATTATTTTGGGTAAAATCATAAGCTCGAAGACAGACTAAATAAATTACACTGAAATGACTAACAGGTTCTAGATATTACCTGAGTAAGAGTGGGGTACAAACAACAAAGTGCTGAACAACAACAACAAATGATGAACAGGTTCTAGACATTACCCAAGTAAGAGTGTGGTATAAACTCTGAAGTTCTGTGTAATTATTTTGGGCAAAATGATGAGTTCCAAAACAGTCTAAATAAATTACACTGAAATGACAGGTTCTAGATATAAGAAAAGAAAAAGTAAGTGTTGGGAACAAACTCCAAAGTACGAGACAATTATTTAGGGTAGCGTGATGATAAGGTCTGGTACAGTTTAATTATATTACACTGAAATGATGAACAGGTTCTAGACATTACCTGAGTAAGACTGTGGTACAAACTCTAAAGTTCTGTGTAATTATTTTGGGTAGCATGATAGTAAACTCTGATGTGGTTCAACTAAACTGAAATGACGAACAGGTTGTAGATATTAACTGAGTAAGAGTGGGGTACAAACTTCAAAGTACTAGATAATTATTTTGGGCAGCACGATGATCAGTTTAACTAACAATTTAATTAATTCCACTGAGTTGAGTAGATATTCACCGTGTAAATGTGGATACAGTATCTAAAGTGTTGTGTAATTTTTTTGGGTAAAATGGTACCAAGTAGAAATACAGTTTAACTAAATCACACTGAAATGAAACAGGTTCTAGATAATAAGCTGATATGGGACATAATAAATCATCTCATAACGATACAGAGTAATAAGGTGGTAAATATAAACACACTCTAAATTTCACTGTAAAGTCAAACGTTTAAGCAGGAAAGTAAATCAGCAAGTTCTCCACGTACCAGGCAGTTATACAGCGTAAAATAACAGCACAAACACGAAAGACAGTTTTAATAAATAAACAGTAAGAACCCAGTAGAACCACAGTAAGAAATCACTGCTCGTTTACAGCCCACATCCGTCTAGGTTATAAACATTACAAGTACACACGACATAAAACTCTGTATTTTATTCAACTACAGTGTGTTTACGCCACAAACACCCAAAATAGTTACACAACGCTGTGGGGCTCCACTTACCCAGTTAATATCTAGACCCTGCTGGGCTCCCTGCCGGGATTACCGAGCATCACACACTACACAACTTATAAGTTGTTGCTGAACTGAACTGAACTCGTGCGAACTCACGTGAACCCACGTGAACTCACGTGTTTTCCTGTCACTAGGCAAAACAGATAAACAAACGTGCTGCTGTTTTCTCTGCCTTTTGCATCGACCCAGTACAGAAGCAGCAGGTAAACATGTTTAAGTGAGGCCTCTGGTTTAAAATGTACATGAAACTCGATTGTGCCTTAAAACGAGCTCATTAAAACGCTCCACTCCACACCTGAGAGACTTTTCGCCATTTTTCTTTGTTTACTTGCTGTATTTTCTTCTTTCTTGCTCTCAGTTTTCATGGTCCAGCACAGACTCAGCCAGACTGAGAATCAGGGCTAAAATCAGGGCTAAAGTTTTGCACTGTAACTCTGACTTTTACTCCAAATCATCAGGTTACTAGTTCAGTCTTCAGGAATGAAGTGAAAGCAGCTCCACTGTCCAGATGATCAGGACAGCGCGAGTCCAGCTGTGCACGCTCCTCACTGACACTTTCTTAGCATTTCTCTAATAACTCTGACTGATTTACCGCCGCTGGCGTTCTCACTGCAGGACTGTGATTGGCTGAGAGGCGTGTCAATCATAATTCTGCTGACAGTTTACTGATGAGTGGCTTTCAGTAGATCATCTACCGCAGAGCTGCTCTCTTTTAGGTCAGGAATTCTTGCAGTTTCTCCTGGGAACGTTCCTTCAGCCCCCATCAGCATCATACACACACACACACACACACACACACACACACACACATGTGTGTGTATGTCTGTGTGTGCACGTGCCCCCCCCACAGTAACCCGGAGGGTCCAGCCAACTTGTTAAGAGCTTCTTGGACGACTATTAGTCATGGGACTGATTTAGAAACAGAGAGAGAGAGAGAGAGAGAGAGAGAGAGAGAGAGAGAGAGAGAGAGAGAGACCACCCACAGGAACTGTGATAAATCACACACACATTAATTATGATGATGTAATGTATTAATTGGTGTATTTGAGATGTTTTACACTGAAGTCAGTGATGCTGTAATAAAATCTCTTTCAATGAGGGGAAAGTTTTAGAGCCCCTGCGTTTGGAAAAAATGCTTGCATTAAATAAATGAGTGGAATCTTCTACAACAGTTTGCTACACAACTATATACAACTCACAACTACAGTAATCATAAAACTGACCTCACTGACCTCTGACTACTGACGATATTTACTTACGGTTCTTTAGAGAACCATTCAGTGAATCAGGAACCCTCACATTTTACCTGGATTTATCTTTATTTAGTAGTTTAAAGTGGAGGTTTTTATCATTGGATTAAATGGCTGAACTTCGAATTCAACTTGCAACACCCTGGCAACCACCAGAGATGCCATGGCAATCACCTAGAAACACCCTAGCAACTTCTACGG